GCATGTCTATAGGTGGGGCTATCTCGGACAGCCCTGCATGTATGTAGGTAGGGCTATCGCGGACAGCCTGACATGTCATAATGTGGGGGCATCGCGGACAGCCGTCCATGTCTACATGTGATGCTATCGCGGGCAGCCGTGCACGTCTGCAGGTGAGACTCGCGGACAGCCGTGCATGTCTGCAGGTGAGGCTATCGCGGACAGCCGTGCCTTTTTGTAGCCTCGCTATCGCGGACAGCCGTGCATGTCTGGAGGTGAGGCTATCGCGGACAGCCGGGCATGTCTATAGGTGGGGCTATCTCGGACAGACTTGCATGTATGTAGGTAGGGCTATCGCGGACAGCCTGACGTGTCACAATGTGGGGCCATCGCGGACAGCCGGCCATGTCTGCAGGTGAGGCTATCGCGGACAACCGTGCCTTTTTTTTTTAGGTGAGGCTATTGCGGACAGCCTGACGTGTTACAATGTGGGGCCATCGAGGACAGCCGTCCATGTCTGCAGGTGAGGCTATCGCGGACAGCCGTGCATGTCTGCAGGTGAGGCTATCGCGGACAGCCGTGCCTTTTTGTAGGTGAGGCTATCGCGGACAGCCGTGCCTTTTTGTAGGTGAGGCTATCGCGGACAGCCTGACGTGTTACAGTGTGGGGCCATCGTGGACAGCCGTCCATGTCTGCAGGTGAGGCTATCGCGGACAGCCACGCACGTCTGCAGGTGAGACTATCGCGGACAGCCGTGCATGTCGGCATGTGAGGCTATCGCGGACAGCCTGACGTGTTACAATGTGGGGTTATCGCGGACAGCCGTCCATGTCTGCAGGTGAGGCTATCGCGGACAGCCGAGCACGTCTGCAGGTGAGACTATCGCGGACAGTCGTGCATGTCGGCATGTGAGGCTATCGCGGACAGCCGTGCCTTTGTAGGTGAGGCTATCGCGGACAGCCGTGCACGTCTGCAGGTGAGACTATCGCGGATAGCTGTGCATGTGTGCAGGTGAGGCTATCGCGGACAGCCGTGCCTTTCTTATCCTCGCTATCGCGGACAGCCGTGCATGTCTGGAGGTGAGGTCTCGGACAGCCTTGCATGTATGTAGGTAGGGCTATCGCGGACAGCCTGACGTGTTACAATGTGCGGCCATCGCGGACAGCCGGCCATGTCTGCAGGTGAGGCTATCGCGGACAACCGTGCCTTTTTTTAGGTGAGGCTATCGCCGACAGCCTGACGTGTCACAATGTGGGGCCAACGCGGACAGCCGTCCATGTCTGCAGGTGAGGCTATCGCGGACAGCCGTGCATGTCTGCAGGTGAGGCTATCGCGGACAGCCGTGCCTTTTTGTAGGTGAGGCTATCGCGGGCAGCCTGACGGGTTACAATGTGGGGCCATCGCGGACAGCCGTCCATGTCTTCAGGTGAGGCCATCGCGGACAGCCGTGCATGCCTGCAGGTGAGGCTATCGCGGACAGCCGCGCCTTCTTGTAGGTGAGGCTATCGCGGACAGCCTGACGTTACAATGTGGGGCCATCGCGGACAGCCGTGCCTTTTTGTAGGTGAGGCTATCGCGGACAGCCTGACGTGTGACAATGTGGGGCCGTCGCGGACAGCCGTCCATGTCTGCAGGTGAGGCTATCGCGGACAGCCACGCACGTCTGTAGGTGAGACTATCGCGGACAGCTGTGGATGGCGGCATGTGAGGCTATTGTGGACAGCCGTCCATGTCTGCAGGTGAGGCTATCGCGGACAGCCGCGCACGTCTGCAGGTGAGACTATCGTCGGTATGTGAGGCTATCGCGGACAGCCGTGCATGTCTGCAGGTGAGGCTATCGCGGACAGCCGTGCACGTCTGCAGGTGAGACTATCGCGGACAGCCGTGCATGTCGGTATGTGAGGCTATCGCGGACAGCCGTGCATGTCTGCAGGTGAGGCTATCGCGGACAGCCTGACGTGTGACAATGTGGGGCCATCGCGGACAGCCGTCCATGTCTGCAGGTGAGGCTATCGCGGACAGCCACGCACGTCTGCGGGTGAGACTATCGCGGACAGCCGTGCATGTCATGTCGGCATGTGAGGCTATCGCGGACAGCCGTGCCTTTTTGTAGGTGAGGCTATCGCGGACAGCCGTGCCTGTTTGTAGGTGGGCTATCGCGGACAGCCGTGCATGTGTGTAGTTGCAGCTATCACAAACAGCCCTTGATGTCTGTAGGGGAGTCTAAGTGGACAGGTGAGGGGATGGGACAGGGCCACTACTGCAAACAGGCGCCGCCGGAAGGGGTGTCTGCCGACCCCATATTATTTCTCAGCCTTGGCGCCGGGTCGGAAATGCATCTTTGCGTCACAGTTTGGCGCTGCCAACTGGTGTCAGGTAGGTGCGCGTTCCGTGTAGGTATACGGTCGGTGTACAGGCTCATGGCGGCAATGCAGCATAGCAGCAGGCATACGTGCATCCACAGTGTGGCACATTGCCAGCAGTGACCTGACCCCCAGTCGGTCCGCTGCAGACCGGTGAAAGGCAACACCCCCGATCAACGGCAGTCCGACCGCCGGCCACAGGCCCGTCATGGCCTTTTCAAGGGCAGCTGACGTCACGCCGGATGAGTCACCCGGCCGCCCCCGGTGCGGAGGACGGTCAAGTGTCACACGCCCGCGCCTGCGCCGCTGGCAACCACGTGACCATCAGTAGCTATTGTTGCTGCCGCCGCCCGCGGCGCTACCAGCGTGGGAAGTGCCACGTAGAGCTGACGTCACGATCACGCTATGGCTGGTCGGACCCGCCAAGATGGCGTCAGGGCGACAGGGCATTGGGCGTAGCCCATGGACATCAATACTGATGCCAGGCAAGCAAAGAGTATATAGGGCTAAAAATGCATGGCAGGCTAAGAAACGTCAATGACTGGGGCCAGGCAAGCAATGACATTGGTGGAAAGAACCATTGTAGGTACGGAAGAGGAGGTCATCCTGGTTGGCCGGGCACAAGATAAATGTACAGAAAGTCACAGGTTCATACACTGAGCAAATCACACCGGGGTGAGCTGCTCCCCAGGCACATTGCAGGTGGTGAGACACCTGATTGCAGTCAGTGTGGGGCTCGTTATGGTCAGTAATGTGGCGCACGGCGCCCGACCTCGGCTAGGGGGGGGGGGGCGCGATGGGGGCAAACTCTTATCATGTATGCTATATTGAATCGCCGTTAGCGATCACGTGAGTGAGTAAGGTGCAAGTGGCAATCACCACCGGCGTGTTATGGGACGCGGCGAGGAACGGGCGAGACAAAATGGCGCCCGGCGCCGGGGGGGGGGGGTAATCTCCCCATGCACGCGGTGAAAGCCGTCGACAGACCTAGTTAGGTAGCAGGGAATGTCCAGTAACATACCTGCAGTTTTGTGCGCTGGCGAGGGGCCATCGCGACCACAGTAGGATCCTAGTTTTACTCTCGCTGATGCACGTTGGTGTGGAACTCGTTCGGCGTAGGAAGACTATGGTGGTGATGTTTGCCAGCGTTGCCTTTCTTTCACGGATTTGTTTTCTTGTTGGATTTTGCTGCTCACATATCGATTCACACATACATCACTCGCACTCAAGACTGAACAGTGAACATTCAACTCGACTAATGTGCCCCGCGCCCTTGCCGACGGCTCGCCGTCGGGCACCCGACTCCGTCTCCCGGCCGGCCCGGGCGCGGCGCCGCGGCGCGGCCGTCCCGGTTACCTGACCCGGCCGGCCAAAGGTCGGACCGGCTCCGGCCGCCGCTATCAGCCCGCGGCGGGCCCGGGGAGGGGTGTTGTTCTTCCTAGGGGTCGCCGCATTCTGCCCCGCCGCAGTCTGCCCGACACTAATGTTCCGTGATTATCGCCGGCTCTAATACGGTCCCATACTTGTTGACAATTTGTAAGCTAGCAATGCCCAGTCAAATGCTAGTTCATCAACAAACCAAGGGTTGGTGAACCGACAAGGAAACGCCTATGCCTATCCAGAAGTTGGTAGGTCCACAAGGCTCAGACTAGTACATCAACAAGGCGACGCCTATGCGAATTGGAACCAATCTTGTAGACAAACTGTTAGTTTGTTGGCCAACAAGCCTGGGGTTGGTGAATCGACAAGGTGACGCCTATGCGAATTGGAACCAAACTTGTAACAAGGAGCCAACTTGTAGATTTGGTTTCCAGTGTAGCTCAAGCTTCCCCTCAAGTAAACCTCTGGCAGTTGGCACTGATGAACTACACTGACACCTCTGATCCAAGATAAAATTAAAATGTGTAAATCTGTCTAGTCAATCATGGAACGGATGAACTTGAGAACTGAGGTCAATATGATATTTTGCGATATATATATCAACGTTACTTTGGAACCTTTTTGCATGTTCTCTTCATATTTTGTAACACACGCGCAAAAACTGCAATAAAATAGCACTTAATGCTTCTGGACAAAATACAATGGTAGTAAAAACTTAGCCCTGATGGTATTCATTCTTGGCCAAAATCTAATTGCAAAATATTTTGTAGTAACTATTAAATTCCGGCTAAAAATAGTGTACGGCTTAAAAAAAAACATTCCAATGACGGTCCATTCTTGCGGTCCTGAAATCGCCACTATTTCCGGCCTCTCCAACGCAACTCGTTGTCCAGACGTAAATATGCAGTAGGTATATACTACTTTGCGCGCAGCATATGTCGCACTTTAAAGATACCAAATCATTGCTTCCAAATGGCGTCATAGGAACAGCGGATGCCCCAAAAATAAACAAAAATAAAAGTATAATATCTCAAAAATTGGTGAATAGTTTTCGGTGAAATTTGATAGATATTCATTTCTGTTCCTTCTGAACCACGGTACTTCACTTTTATGCCAATTCATTAACGTTTTAAAGGCGGAAGGGTCCCTTCAACCCTCTCGCTCGCTCGTTTGTCGCCCTCAAAAAGGCGTCGTACTGATCTTTATTCCAGGCCAGGCCATTTCATGTTCATATCATCTGGAGTGCTGACGTTCGGGGCGTCTGCGTTTGTGACTGACCGAGTTTGGGCAGCTGGTACGGTAGGCCGAAGTAGTCGGTGTAGAAGTCGAGGACGCTGACGGCCACTTGGGCGGCGAACTGGCCCTGCTGGACCAGATGCGGCGGCGCCCAGACCGAGACCAGCACATCTGACGGCAGCGGCACTGACAGGTGTCACATGTGACAAACAAGTGTCACATACAGCCGTCGCAGACAGAAGTCGCAGACAGCCGTCACAATGTGGTGTCACAGACAGTCGTCGCAGACAGGTGTCACACTCAGAGCCAGGTGTCACAGACAAGTGTGACAGAAGGTGTCACACTCACAGACAGGTGTCACACTCACAGACAGCCGTCGCAGACAGGTGTCACATACAGGTGTCACAGACAGGTAACACAGACAGGTGTCACAGACAGACCTGACATAGACAGGTGTCATAGACAGGTGTCATTGACACGTGTTGATTTTCGACGGGTGTCTGGCTGACTCCGCTGCTGGGACGTTGCCGTGATCTCACATTCATGTACGTCTTTTTATGCGGTTCTACAGGGTGTCTCAATTTTTTTGCAGCATCCATTTTTCCACGATTTACGGTTTTACCGCCGGTATAAACGTCATGACGGCAGTAGCGGCGGAACACCTTCAATTAAGGGGGGGGGGGGCACTGCCGACTTTTGGTCCCATTCTTTCCATGCAACGCCCATAGGGCTAATGTTAAAATGCCGAAATCAAAGGGGGCACGGTGCCCCGGTGCCCTCCCCGTTCCGCCGCCTATGCATGACGGTGGTCTTCTTGTTGCCTTAGGTATAAGTAACGCATTATTTTCCACTCAGATCATTCACAAATGCTGCCACGAAACATGACTGATCTTGCTTACGGCGACTGCTGGATAACCGCGGGTCAGTCACAGACATGCAGATCACCAAATGGGTCAAACGACCAGAAAATATGCACTCACGCGCTATTGGATTACTGAACACTGACTTAGCAGGACGTTGCAGAACAGTTGGAAGCACAAGGGTAGAATGGGGTAATTGAATTTTCTTCACAGGTATCCTGAATAACTTTATAGCGATGTGGACAGTTAAAGTGACAAATATGACATTTGTTTAGTAGAACGAGAGCCGAACGTTCTTTCCGTGGCTGGTCAGGCGGGCCGAGAGCGCCGGGTCTGCGAGTCGATAAGGGCCATTTCATTTCACGCTTCTGTGTGGCTGACTTTGGTCCATCGTGACACTGAGCTGTGTGATTGCGCCTTATTGTCGGCTGTGGGAGACGCATATTAATGTTTGGAAATATTGTTTCGCTAAATATTGTTCTTTTGGCGTTCAGCTTTCACTGAAACTCAAAAATACATGTTTATGTTTTCAAGAATGTACGGGACAGCCCGTTGAATATAAGATTATTAAATTTTTACAAAAACGCAATATTCAAAAAAGGTCATCGATCGATTTTGATAAAAAATACATTTTTGGATTTAGCTCACCGTCAGCTTTCGAATGGTATAATACCGTTTCTTTTGAGCCTGAGATGACCTTCCGACGAGCCGTGCGCCCTGAGCATCCCCTTCTGTGGCACGGCCGTTACGGCCGCCCCGGCGCCCTGAGCATCCCCTTCTGTGGCACGGCCGTTACGGCCGCCCCGGCGCCCTGAGCATCCCCTTCTGTGGCACGGCCGTTACGGCCGCCCCGGCGCCCTGAGCATCCCCTTCTGTGGCACGGCCGTTACGGCCGCCCCGGCGCCCTGAACATCACCTTCTGTGGCACGGCCGTTACGGCCGCCCCGGCGCCCTGAGCGTCACCTTCTGTGGCACGGCCGTTACGGCCGCCCCGGCGCCCTGAGCATCCCCTTCTGTGGCACGGCCGTTACGGCCGCCCCGGCGCCCTGAGCATCCCCTTCTGTGGCACGGCCGTCACGGCCGCCCCGGCGCCCTGAGCATCCCCTTCTGTGGCACGGCCGTTACGGCCGCCCCGCCGCCCTGAGCATCACCTTCTGTGGCACGGCCGTCACGGCCGCCCCGGCGCCCGGAGCGTCACCTTCTGTGGCACGGCCGTTACGGCCGCCCCGGCGCCCTGAGCATCATCACCTTCTGTGGCACGGCCGTTACGGCCGCCCCGGCGCCCTGAGCCCAAACAACGTGGCGGGCACTTGCTACTCCCCAGCACTCCAGTACACCGAGGAGGCCGAGATTCAGGCGGAGCTCCACTCACAAGGAGTAGTAGAGGTGACGCGCCTCCGATCTAAGGGGCCTAACCCAAACCCGCTGCTTAACCCTATTCCTGGCGGGGGGCCTTTAAGGCCCCCTTCAGGTTTTTCTTGTGCCATTGCCAAACGCCGCAAGACTGAAAGCTCATACTCGGTGACTTTTTCTAAACATTCATTGCGCACATTTTGACAAAAAAGTTGCCGGGTCAGGTCAGGTCGGGTCACCAGAGGCGGTTTGGTGACCCCACCTCAGAAAAGTTTGCAATCACGCCAGAGCTAGAGTTTTTGACCGATCAATTTCTTCTCTTCAGGTTTTTGTTAGGGTACCAGTATGTGCAATTTGTATATCTCAGAATTTTTATATCTGTGACCTGAGGTCAGGCCAGACTCGTGACCTTTACATTGCAAGCCTATGGGAAAATATTGAAACGCCTCCTGTTTCGTGTAAACGAGTCAAAACCACCCAATTCTTTCAGTATTATGGAAGATTATCTCATCGGTAACGATGACAAGGAGAAACTGAACCGGAAGTCGCCCTCCGCCCCTCCACCCCGCCCGGCCGGGCACTCTATCCCGAGCGAGCGTCGATACGCCGACGCTGTCCGGGGGACTAACCCCCGCTGCTCGGGACCTCAGGCTGGAGCAGAGCAGCGCTCCGACCCGAATCTGACCCCGCCGCTCAGTACGGCAGTGGAGCTCCCTCGTCCGTCGCACCCAGAGTCGACGGAAACTGTCACGGCACCAGTTCCCCAGACTGCCCCCACCGTTCGACGAGACGGACACGGTCACAGAGACCCCGAAGGGAGCAGCTCAGCCTCTGACCGAGGTGCCAACTGAGACCCAGTCAGACCACGTCCACACGACCCGTGCAGCAGAACAAACTGACGCCGTCGCTGTAGCCAAGGCATCTCTCGACGGCTCAGAGTCGGTGACCCCTGTCAAGGAGATGCCCATTGAAACCCCTCAGACTCCGCGGTCCCAGAGACCCCAGACGTTGCCAGCACGTCTGTTGACTCCGCAGAGTCTCTAGATTCTCTTGACTCGCCTAACGATACTGTCGTTGAGGCACAGTTCACACAGGAACTTTTCGAAAGCCCGTCTCCGCCGACCACCTAAAACCCAGGCCCACAGTGGCGCAGCCAGGATTTCGTTTCGGGGGGGGGGGGTCATCGCCTCCAAAGCGGGCCCCCTAGTGTGCGGGCCCCCACCCATTTTTCAGAATCTCTCCATATTTCATACGCATTCTGCTGAGCGGGCCCCCTTTACCTGCACGATAACCTTGAGTGAGTTTGAATAAAAAATCTGAATAGAACAATAGCTCGGTAGTTAATCACCCGGTGTTCAATTTTTACGCAAATTGACCACCACAGAAATATGTTACTATGACGTATGAATTCGTATCTTTCGAGGCCGAAATGTGCCCCTTCCGCAATATGCATTGCATATAATGCAATCAGAACTGTTGCCTGCTTCTGTCGGACAAGATTTAAGTAAAGTCTCATGTGCCTGTCCTAAGCCATATATTGGCCCTGGCCTAAGTGCATAAAGACATCGTCTGTGCTCAAAACTGACATAATATTCGTGATCAGCACCCCGGGAAACCCTAAAGCAGCCACATTTTACGACGTTCTAAGGTCCCAATTTTCCCGACTTTTGGGTCATTGACCTGACCTGGAGGGTCAACCAATGACCTAGGGCCTTTAAATTGGGTATCATCGGCTTCCTCTCGTCACGGGCAATACGTTCGTTTTCCGCGAAGCTCTAGCTCGATCATGGGCCAAACGCGAGGGGGGGTCGTACCCTCCCTCCCTTGTGCCGTCGAAGGACGCAAAATGGCCTGTGCCGGCGAGGGCGAACGCGCTCACATGGGATATGTATTGCCTTGGGCCTGGTTTGTTGTGGTGTGGTGATGTGGTGTCGTAGATTCTGTCTGTTACCGTGGTCCTGGCATGGTGTTACTTAGCTGTAGGTACAGGCCAGACCGTTGCACTTATAGTGCACTGAACTTTGCGCAGCTAATAGAAAAAGGATGGGCAACGTGCCTTTGAGGGGTCTCAGCTCGATCGGGCCGGTAGTGAGCACATGGCGATTGGCGCGTGCTCAAAAAGTGCAAATTCGCGCCATAGACTTTACATGCATTACGGCTTGCAAAATCGGGCGAAAGTGGCTAAATTTGCCCGACACGGGTCCGGTCCCCGTGCAGTATCTCGGTAACCGTGGGTCCGATCGGTACGGGGAACACAGCATCGTGTATGAGAATCGAACGGGCTATCGAATGGTGTGCAGTGCAGGGATGGCAAGCACCACGTGCACCCGTGAGGGCACTTATGCTTGAAAAATTGACGTTTCGGACGGATTTTGGACTTAATGTTATTTCCTGGTGACTGTCAGATGGAGCGGGTTCAAACACCACCTGTTGGCAAGAGAACTGTACCGCCTATCGTGGAAAAATTGTGAAAAGCTAATTGATCAAAAACAAGGTGGAACAAATCGCTGGAGAAAATGGTATTTGTTCATGACTTACTTAATTACACGGGTTTTGCTGCACAACCTGGTACGTTTGACAATTAAAATTTGAAAATGACATAGTTGGAAAGAGCATTCAATTTTGTTCAAGATCCAATCATCGCTTTTGCATGACGAGCAACAATATTCTTGAAAATATAAATGTTTCAAACCTCTACATAGTAATTCATCGATGGCTTTCATTTTTCAATAACCTAAGTCAACACCTACCTATGTTATAAAATACCTACACTTGGCATGTTCTATAGTAGGACGCATGGTTATCTCAGACACGAGCACCTCGATGCGA